AAGGGTCCAGGGCTCAAGTCCCTGTTCGGGCGAATTTTTGGAGAATTTATTAGATTTATCTTGACGTCGTGATGGGAATCCTTACATATATAATTGTATGTTTAATTGTTTATAACAAGACAAATAATTAAATACTGATTACTGATACGTCAAAAGTATTTTTATACGATCCTAAAGTATATCTTGACTTTAATTAATATCTTATACTAGCTTTCCGTCCGCAGCTTCGCCCGCTTGAAGTTCGGTTATATCGCGTTTCCAAGAGAACCTTTCAAAAGTCTGGGATAAAAACTATCCTATGTTCTTTCTCAAGGTCAACTCTAAGTCTGTACCAAATTTCATTAAAATCCGTTCAGTGGTTCAGGCGTGAAAGCGTAACAGACTGACAGACAGAGTTACTTTCGCATTTATAATATTAGTAGGGATTTCTACAATCAAGTGTAGACATCAAGGAATTGTATTAATTCAAACATGATATTTTAAAAAAGTGTTAAAAGTTTTTAAGCCAAGGCTTTGTGTATCACGTATTGTGTAGGAGTCACAATTGTATCTGGAGCTTGCATCATGTAGATTTAAAGGCACATGTCGTGTCTTCATTTAATGAAGAACTATTGATATTAAAGAATAATCGATTGGTTATAATACAGTGGTGGCCTAGTGGTTAAAAGGCCCGCCTCTCATGCTTGATTACGCGGGTTCGATCCTAGAAAGTACCAATGTGATTTTTTCGAGTTATATGTACTTTATAAGAGTATTTAGACATCACTGATTAATGCATTCTCAAAGAGGGTTGATGTCTCAGGCGGCCGGTCGTGAAAACAATTAGCCAGAACTATTCACAACATGTAAGCAGACCCTGGCTAAAGCTGGGATATTTCCAAGAAGAAGGAGATTGGTGATGCTATTAATATGCGTACTACGTGTTTGGATACGAAATGATTGTCGTATTTCAATTAATAATGAGAGTTTTGAATGAGAAACTGTTATTTTGAGTATGTATTGTGACATTGCTAAGGTTGTGATAAAGCCCAAATAACTTTGAATCAGCTATTCTTATAACATGTAATTTTTGAGAAGACCGATACAATATTTAATATATATTTCTTAAATTAATGAAGTAATAATGATTATGTACTACATTTCGTCTTTATGATCACGGTTGCTGAAAAGTAACCGAAACGTCGGGAGTATGTACATTACAATAATAAAATACGCGTAGTAATACAAATAATATTAGTTTCATTTATATAAAACTCTTAAGTATATCTCATTATGTATTAATATTAATTATTGAGTACATATAAAGGTATTAACATTACAAAGCTTGGCAATACTTGTCTCAAATTAATTTTCTATCTGTCTAGAACATATCATGCATACAATTGTATTAAGATGAAAGATTTGATACATATAAAATTTCACCCGTCCGTCACGGTAGCAATACGAACATGTCATGTCAGCACGCATTATTTTTGATGGAGTAATTATTGCTTAAAATCTATATTGATGTTTTAATTAGTGTTGTTACTTAATGAAGACATTGAAAAGCTCTTTAAAATGAACTGTAATTATGTTGCATCACTATTTAAATATGTTACACAATCTAGATATATATATATATATATATATATATATATATATATATATATATATATATATATATATATTTATATATTTTCATTTATTTTATGAAAATGAATTCCTGTTAGTCTCACTAAAACTCGAGAACAGCTGAACGGATTTATCTTATCTTAGTCTTGAAATGTTCGTGGAGGTTCAGGGAAGGTTTAAAAGCTGAAAAAAATTTAATCATTTCCGGTAAAACCCTAAAAACAGCCCTTTTCTATTTCCCATACAAACGTTTTTTTGACATTAGATTTGACAACTAGCTAATATGTCAATCATTCTGTCGCACTTTAGAATACTGAGTTTTATGGCTTAATTGTAAACTCCAAAAAAATAAATTAAAATTATTTATTTATCGATTGAGGCAGTACGAGATCTGCCGGGTCAGCTATATAATAAAATGCAATTCACTTTTCACAATTCGCCAAACTATTTAGAAAACAATATTATTGATAATTTGAAGTTAGTATCATATACATGCAAAATGTACTTCTTAAATACTCTCGTTTTATATATATTGTTATTTTGATATAACAAATGGAAAAAATAATTTGTTGTCATATAGAAAGAGACAGAAAGAGAACGAGAGGGATAGATATAGAAGTAATATTTAATATATTTATTCAGCAATTTTAATTATTGTTAAACATTTCAGAACCATAATCTGGTCTTATATTACTATTGAAATAATATATTATTAATTAAACTCAAAAAATTAATATCGATTCAAATAAAATAATATTATTTTTGAAAATAAACATACACATATACGTGAGAAACGAAACAAATGCTTTGGCGTTTACAAAAAAACCTTTAACAATAGATATGATCATATGAAAAAATTGTTATACCTCAAACATTATATTACCACGAGTTTCCATAATAAACTAATAATTTAACGTTTTAACTCATTAAACTACGTTAATACTATCAAACCTACGTATTATTTTGACTCAAACTTATGTTAAAACTATGGTTAGGTTAACATTGCCATTCCTAAGTCCGCGTAAATATTGACGTGGTTTTTTGAGTGAAACGGCAAACGTATCGTGTTACTACATATAGTAATCGTACTGATTGTATCTCATTGATTCATTTTCAAGACATTTCGAGTTTAACCTTTAAATTTTTATCATCTTCCTTGAACAATGTATAGTTTATGGTCACGATTTAGACCAATTCTTAGATTTCTCTTGATTAAATGTTACTTAACTCAATCATGTTATACTAGCTTTCCGCCCGCAGCTTCGCCCGCGTCGAGTTCGGTTACATCGCGTTTCCAACAGAACCTTTCAAAAGTCTGGGATTAAAACTATCCTATGTTCTTTCTCAAAGTCAACTCTATGTCTGTACCAAATTTCATTAAAATCAGTTCAGTGGTTCAGGCGTGAAAGCGTAACAGACAGACAGACGGAGTTACTTTCGCATTTATAATATTAGTAGGGATTTTATTAATCGTTATAAATTATGAATTATTTTTAGAGAACATAATTATTTTTATATGTAAGTAATCACGAAAATGATAGAAAATTTTATAGTAGGGTAAAACTTGGTTGTCGAAAAACAAATGACAAATATTGTAATGATTTATTTGAAATAACTTTTCATTTATTTTAATAACTTTTATAAAATCTAGTTATTTGTAACTCCTATTTGTTTTTACGTCTATATATTGCTATGAAAGCAGTATAGAACAAATATTGTAATTTTTATATAATAAATAAATAACATATCTAGAGACCAATATTTGGTGCCTTTCCTAGTTGTAAATATATTAAATGCGATTTCTTTCGTAATCTTTTGTTAATTATCTTTGATCTACATCAGTGTAGTTTTCATTTGTTTCAAGAAACCAAATTTCCAATACATATATTTATATTATAATCTTTAGAATTAATAAATATGTATAACAAAACCATATCAGTGAAAGCGAGATATGTTTCAAGAATCCTTATTTTTTATAAATTTAATGTCGTCCTTTTATTAATATGATTGTTTTAAAATTTAATTAGACTTTTGAGATATACTTTTGAGTTTGAAATATTCATTTGGTCTTAATCATTTGGTTGGAAGGCTCTATATTTAAGTCAGTGGTGGCCTGGTGGTTAAAAGGCCCGCCTCTCATGAATGAGGGCACAGGTTCGATCCTGGTACTGGCAAGTACCAATGTGATTATTCCGAGTCATTATGTACTTTATGAGAGTATATAGAATCACTGATTAATGCATTCCCAAAGAGGGTTGATGTCAGGCAGGCGGCCGGTCGTAAAAACAATTAGCCAAAACTATTCAGAACATGTAAGGCAGACCCTGGCTGAAGCTGGGAAATTGCCAGATAGAAGAAGAAGATATATATATATATTAATATAATACGAATGACATCGGCCTTTCCATTCATTTCATAGTTAAAGAAACCATTTACATGACCGAGTAACATTTTAAAAAGGTTAAACTTAAAACATTTAATAATAGCTTTTATTTATATTGACAGAGAGTTTAATTTATTATTTATAATATTACTTATTAAAATGTCATTACAATTTATATTAAGGGAATCAGTTCATTAATTATATCACGCTGAAATGGTTCTTATGCACTAGATAATAAGGTTCATGATATTAGTAATATGTTTTGTAGCTTTAAGAATGTAGATGTCAATTTGCTATTTTTTTTTAATATAAATTGTGAAATACGCATTCAAAGGAATTGAGTCATGAACATTTGTTAATGTTAGTTTATTATAGGTACTAATGACGTGTTCTCACGTTCTTGTAAGGCGTAATATTTTTTACCCTTAGCTTCGTTGTGTTTCAAACACATTTTTTAGGTTTTTCTATCAGAATTCCTCGTATTACTATTTAGATTATTGTTTTGTTCGTTTTTATATGTTTTTTTTTATATGCACTAAGCTAGTTAACAAAGTGTTATTTTGTAAAGGTTTCAAAAATAATGTGTGTTAATAATAAAACATTTATTATGAGGAATCACAGAAAACCTTAAAATAATAAATAAATAATATCTCGCTCACGACGAAGTTAAAAATAATGTAATATTAAAAATCGGTAACAATTAAAACTTTTAACTAATATGTTGAACTTAAAAATTAATGTTACGCATTAAATAATTTCAGATATGCTTAAATAACTAAATTTATATAAAAACCAATTCAGCTAGCGCCATCTATTATTCAATAGATACATCACATCGTTTAAAATAACTTTCAAAAAGTAAACATTAGTAAGTACATAAAACGGTTTCGTGAGCACAGTTTTTATACGTCTTAAATCTAGTAATAAATTAAATTTATAATAATATTATGTTATATAGGAACGTCGGAATATCATCGGCGGGTAACTCAGTCCGGGAGAAGTTGATTTATTCTGGAAATAATAAAAGTAATTTATAAATTCACGTACTATATTTGAAATACAGTTGAATTCATTAAATCAATCAATTACCTGAAGGTTGTACTGGGTATAAGAATGCATTCATTGAATCTTTTCCAAAAGCATTTTTTACGGTACAAGTGTAGCCACCCATGTTTTCCCAAGCCAAATTCTTTATGTGTAAGTCTCCAGATGGCAGCACCTAGTAGTTTTAAAAGTAATTAAGAGATGGCGTTTTCAACAAAGTCAAAGTAATAAATACTAATACTATTAAATTAAGTCACTTGACTATTACTAGTGAGTAATGAATGGATAATAATTAAACAATTTTTAATAAATTGCCTATTCTTACCCGCATTCTGCTATTTCCATAGACAATATTGTCGTTGTTATCAATCCAATACAATTGGCTTTTAAGCGGACTGTATACTCTACAAGGTAAAGTGAGGCTTGTGCCCATATTTTGAAAGATGTCCAGATAGAAGCCAGTAATTATTGGTTTGGTTGAAAACATTTTAGATGTTAAAAACGGTTGGTTTCCTGCAAAAAAAAATCCATATTAAGAGCCTATCAAAATAAAATAGCAATTACGTAAATAATTGTATTATTATTATTAAAAGTAAGGAGTTTTTAAATTTTACCTTCAACAAAGACGGTAGTAGTGGCAACGGCTTCTTTCAAACCAGCAGTTCCAACACAAGTGTAGACATCACCATTCTCAGCATCATTTATCACTAAACGATTAACCATGCGACCGTAACCCGAAGGATGCATTGGTAGAATCTCGTTTACTTCTTCTTCAAACTGAAATTGATATATAATTACGTAACCAATGACGAAAGACTTAAAATATAAGTTTAGTTAAGAGAGTACTTGAAATAAAAATAGGGTTAGAGTGGTATAAATGTATTAAAGAGCAATAATAAATGTGCTTACATCAGACAAGGGCACCGCATTTTTCAACCAACCCACGATCGGTAATGGATGACCTTGCACTTCACATTCTAATACAAGTGCAGTCCCCGGTATAAAATTCACGTTCTCCGGCGGTGGCGCTGATATTTTCACGTAAGCATTACGTTGTGCAGTACGACGGACGGGTAACACTTCTAAAAAACGTTTTATGATAATATATTGTCACAGCTACACCAGCGCTGCAGTGGCGAGTAGTGGAACTAAATGACAGGTAATTATGCAGGTTGCTAGTTTTTTTTTGTTCCATAAAACGAAGTGAAATACTACAGATTCATTCAGTGTTTTTAAATCAGTCAACGCAACCGGGGATTTTTTTCATTGAAATACTTCATTACACTTTATAATCAGAAACTCTGTCTGGTGATCTGTAATTCAATGCTGGCCAGATGTTGAATATATTTCGAAATATCTAAATATTGGGTTGCGTATTTTTACAAGTACATTTTTTTATTATCCGTTTTACATACGGTTATATAGATTTTGTTACGAAAGCAACACAATTTCACGAAAAGATACGGGGTTTTCTTCGCATTTGGTCGTAAAAATTTAATAAAAACTGAGACTCAGAACTGTTGAAAGTTATAACAATAAAATATGGGTTAGCAAATCGTTCTATATTTACGTGCATGATGCACGCAAATATAAAATTTGAAACTTTTACTAAATTTTTATATTTGTGAAATTAAAAGCCGTGTATCAGAGAAGTCATCGAATATTAAATAATTAAAGTGATTAGAATTTTTAGGAAAAAGTTAACAAACAGATGAAATACTCAGAAACATTTATAATAGAATAAATCTATCAAAAAGAACAGGTTTGTGAGTCTTACCATTCGGTAACAAGCTGTTGTCCATTTCAATTTTAGGATCAACTAATGCATTGGTCACGACAAAGCATTGGGATACTAGCGCCGTAGCGACGAGTAGTGACACTAAGCTAATCATCTTTATGTTCACTAGATGGCGTCAGGTGAGTATTATAAAAAGCTGAAACAAAGATGTATGTTGGTTATGACACTAAAAAGAAAAAAGTTCAAGTTAATTAGGGAATCCCAACTCAAAATATTGAATCATATACAGTTATGAGAATTGTTCAATACTTATTATATCAAGTTGTTACTAGAAAAGGCAAGAAATTGTAAAAAGGAAATCGTCATTTAAACGATGTTAAGTTTTATCTGGCTACGACTGAATTTAAAAGGATCGTAATATTTTACTATTTTACTATAAAGAAATGATTTGCAAGTATTGTAGTGATTGTTTTAATTGTTTGAGCAGAATAAACAATTATTAATATTTATTCGTTTATTCATTTTATTTGCTTTTGTTCTTCAAAAGATTAATTATGTCAAGATATCTTAAGATCTGTCAGTTTGTGTAATGTTAAAGCTAACATTGACACTGTGTATTATAGATGAAAATATATAATTAATATAATTTTTCGTATTTTTATTTGACCAATATTCGATTGTTACAATCGATTAAAAGTTTAAAAAAGAAATGAAAACCGTGTCTTTGGTTTGACATTTCTCTGGACTGATTTAAATATTTTTTACAAACACAAAAAATGCAACAATTTAAAAAGTACAAGTAGCACATTATTCAATAAAAATTCGGACACATGTACCTCAATAAAAATATATACAAAATTAAATGAAAATTAATGAAATTAACCAAAAAATAAAAGTTATAATATACAATAATTAAGGCTATTGTATATTAATAATAATATTTGTTGTATATAGTTTTTATATGAAGTTGACATACCTTAAACGGTAGATGTTTCCCGTGTGACTGTTTTCAGCGGAATACAACTAAGAGACAATCCCATCCCTTATATACATCGTTGGAGAAACCTCACTACGTCATTTCATGAACGGGAAAATCTGGATTGTTTAAGGATCTCATTTTCGCCTAATGATTATTATCTGTATTTATAACATAGCATTTGTATAATATCTTTCTTGATTTGTTTCATTTAATTTTTAGTGAATTAAATGTATAAGTTTCTTGTTTCATTTAAAATTATTACGATATTAAATGGAATATTACATCATGTATGTTAAATTGTCCCTAGGACTGTAACCATGATGAGTCATATAACTAGACGTGAAATGGTAGCTAATCATTTTATCTTGAATGAAAAATCTTTATATATATATATTTAATTTTCATATAACATTTTTCCTTATGTATTCTTATTCAAGACATATATTTTTGGAATTATATTTTAAATTTTGGAATTATATACCTACTAATATTATAAATGAGAAAGTAACTCTGTCTGTCTGTCTGTTACGCTTTCACGCCTAAACCATTGAACTGATTTTAATAAAATTTGGTACAGAGATAGAGTTTACCTTGAGAAAGAACATGGAATAGTTTTTATCCCAGGCTTTTGAAAGGTTCTCTTGGAAACGCGATATAACCGAACTCCACGCGGTCGAAGCTGCGGGCGGAAAGCTAGTATTTTTATATATACATGTTAATAGATTAGTCAATAGAAGTAAGATCTAAATTAGTAGCAGCATGGTTCTCAAATCGATGTATACAGAAAACATATTGGTTTTTATGTGATATTATACATGTATTTTAGTCTACATTATATTTTATTATTAGTACTAATATCGCTGTTTAATTTGTATACGTTTCACTCAATTTACTGTCATTTGTATTTGTGACTGCAAATATAGCTGTGGGTTGCAATTAAGTAACATTGAAATATATATTTATAGAAATGCATAGTAAAATTGTGTTTTGATATCGCTAATATTAATTTATAAAGCTAATTTGGTTGTTTGTATGTATAAATTTGTTAGATTATACAAAAAAGTAGACAAAATTGGGAACAGTAGCTTGTTAAGTAATAATCAAAGCACGTCTCGTTATGGTAGATGTTATTCAAAGAATTCTATTGAAAAATTCTTGAGCTATTTTAAGATTGCTCCATTTAAAATGCAAATTATGGAAAATGTTTTATTATAAAAATATGTGTTATTTATAGATTTTTAAATATGATAATGTTAGATAGATTATTTAATATATTTGTTTATAAAAAAATGTTTTAAATGTATTCTTAGAGGAGTGTATTCTAAGGTAGAGTGCTATCTTCTTCTTCTACCTGGCAGTTTCCCAGATTTAGCCAGGGTCTGCCTTACATGTTGTGAATAGCTTTGGCTATTTTTTTTTACGACCGGCCGCCTGCCTGACATCAACCCTCTTTGGGAATGCATCAGTCAGTGATGTCTAAATACTCTTAGAAAGTACATGTGACTCGGAAAAATCACATTGGTACTTGCCAGGATCGAACCAGCGCCTTTATGAATGAGAGGCGGGGTTTTTAACCATTGGGCCACCACTAACTTAAACCTTTTATCTTATCTTTATACTTATCTAAATAAAGATATTATGTCTATTTCACCATTCATTCGTTTTTCCTTGTAAGTACTATCAAAATTCTGATCAAGCAATCTTTGGGTCTAGCTGAGAATTTTAAGAATTAATGACTCATGTCTTTGGGTGATTTTTTTGTATGAACGTAAGATTTTTTTTTTCTTACGACGCACTCGTGTATGCCACGTGTTATTTGTGGCGTAGTTTAGTTAAGTCAGGAGTAGACCTTAAATACTATTAATATTATCTAATAATAAATATAGTAATGATTATTGAATTATTTTACTTTTAATTTATTTGAAATGTAAGTCACTTAAGGCTCTGATTTCAAACAGATTTTTTTATAAGTTTTAAGAATAAAAGTCATTCTTTTTCAGAACTTTTGATTGTGTGTGTGTGTGTGTGTGTGTGTGAGTGTGTGTGTGAGTGTGTATGTGTGAGTGTGTGTGTGTGTGTGTTTATTCATTGATATATAATTTATATTTAAACTGTGATAGTCCCAGCTTTTCTTCGAGCAGGTCTGCTCCAACCTTTATATTACGAGTATATCTTCGGGTGTCATGTGTCAATATTCATATGAGAACTTAATGAACCTTATTCTAATGTATTAGAGTTTAGATTAATCTACACATTTTTGTGAACGCGTCACAAAAATGTGATTACAATGTGAATGGATTGAAGATTTATTAACCTGACACAAAAAACAATATGTATATACATATATAAATAATATGACATATAGGTAAACTCAGATATACAATTTGAGTAATAAAACTTGTATGAAATTTCACTTAAATAGAAGATTATTTTAGATAAGATTGCGTAAATGGTATCCCTACTAATATTATAAATGCGAAAGTAACTCTGTCTGTCTGTCTGTCTGTCTGTCTGCTACGCTTTCACGCCTAAACCACTGAACTGATTTTAATGAAATTCGGTACAGAGATAGAGTTGACCTTGAGAAAGAACATAGGATAGATTTTATCCCAGACTTTTGAAAGGTTCTCTTGGAAACGCGATATAACCGAACTCCACGCGGCGAAGCTGCGGGCGGAAAGCTAGTTTATAATAAAGAAGTTTTATATTAATTCAGATAATGATTTTTTTAAGCAAGCTTGAAATAGTTTCTGTACACTCATTCTTTAATACATTATCCTGATATGGTAAGATTAAAATAAGTTTATATATTTTTGGATTAAGATACGTTTTCGTATTTGGATTTGGATGGCATTGGGATCAGATGAATTTTACGATTTATGATTTATCAGCTGTAATAAGAAGGGTAGAAGTTTTCAGTTTTATCATTACATCTTTCAGAACTGATTTCGGGATTATTACAAGTTACTTCTTAGTAAACTGGGCATGGTTGGAAGTGTTACCTAGGATACAATACCAATACATATCTACTATTAGATCATACGTAGAAGCTTACAAGGGCGACCATGAAACAACGACGTATTCCAATTAAGAAGTCGATCACAAATATGGTATATTAAAGTTTCAACTCAAGCAGAGGGAGGTTTTTGTTTGAGAATTTCTGATATCTCAAAGTAGGATAGATAGTCTAAATAGAAGGTGAAAGTTCTTTCAAATATTCGTAAAAGACTAGGGCTGAGTGCTCAATATAATTTCGAAAATAGGAACTCGGTAGCCTGTCAAAAAATTGGTACTAGAAAGAGTTTTGAGTTCTGAAAGGAAATTTCTGTGAATAGAAGAATTAAACTATGAATTAGGAGTCTCGTTTTAGAGATGAGAATAGAGTGTGGTTCCTTTACTGAAGTTTAATTAAACAAAATTAACTTTCTTGAAAAACTTATGAAAACTTTATATATAATAAATATAAATAAAAAAACATATAGGTACTTGAAGAAACAAACTTATTATGATCGTTTGACCATTTAGTCATTAATTTCAATACTTAAGAATATTTCCATATACTCAAATTTCTAGATACAAATAAAAATATATATTAAAATATAAAATAAGCCTGGTTAAATGTTATCTTAATTAACAATTAACATTGACTGGAAATTCCAGAAGTCGTACAACAATTTTATATCTGACGTAATGAATTCTTGTAATATTGTCTTGATTTCCTTGTGATTACCAGGAATCATTTGATTACCGGGGACAAGGGAATCGTTTCATAGTTGTATGGAATTATCTAATTTGATAATATATCTATATCTATTGTATATATACTAGTTTACGTAAATGACTTTGAAAAGTAACTGTTATTTTTTACGTATAATTGAGAATAAAATATGTGTTTTGAGCTAATTACAATCCTTACTTATATGTACATATATAGATTTTCTTATATTTATTTTATTACCCAATCTTCTTCTTCCTCTACCTGAAAATTTCCCAGCGTCAGCCAGGGTCTGCCTTACATGTTGTGAATAGTTTTGGCTAATTGTTTTTACGACCGGCCGCCTGTCTGACATCAACCCTCTTTGGGAATGCATTAATCAGTGATGTCTAAATACTCTTAGAAAGTACATATGACTCGGAAAAATCACATTGGTACTTGCCAGGATCGAACCCGCGCC